AAATGAGTTCAAGAAAGAATCCCCCGGAGTCTTGCACAAGTTAATATTTCACAGACATCAACGACAATAATGTGCAGTGAAAAAGAAACATGGCAAACTTGTGTAAGAGTGAAATTTAAAGACTGAATTGATCAAACTAGCTCTAATTTCAGAGTAACCAGACTTTAACTTCTTTAGCCTATTAACTTTCAACATGTGCTCACCACACAAACCCCCCTTTATTCAGGTTTTGGTGGTGTTTGTTAGGTGTCTGGGGAGGTTTTTCAAAGTCCAGAAACAAAAAGTAAAAACAGAAATGGATATAGCAAGTAGAGAAAAACTAAAATGTGGAGGTATACAGTGTGGTCAGACTGTTCCAGCAGTTTATACAACGAGTTAAAGTCAGCAGCCTCTTATAGCCTCATACGAAGGTTTCATCTAGTCTTGTATTATTTTATGACTCAGTAATGCATCATCACAGGATTTTGAGATTGAGATTAAAGGAAATCCCCCGTGCTTCTTTGAAAAGCCTTCTCAGTTTGGCCATGAATGAGTCTTTCTCAAAATGTAGCCATGGAGTTCCCCAGAGCTCTGTAGATTCATTCATAACTGAAAAATAACAAAAAATTCTACCTTTACATTCACACAAAGCTGAAGCTAACAGATTACTGTGGATGGCATTATTTTGGCCCCCAGTAGGCCCCACTGTAGGTCAATTTTTGACTGTAATAGAAGTGGCCGTCATAGTATATATAAAAACATCTGTGCCGAGTATGGCCTGGAAGTCAAGAGGTCAAAATAGGAGACAACCCCTAGGGTGGTGGAGGATGACCGAGCTAAGATCCTGTGGGATTTCCAGATACAGACGGACAAAATGGTGTTGGCTAACCAACCGGACATAGTGGTGGTAGACAAACAGAATAAGACGGCCGTGGTGATAGATGTAGCAGTTCCGAATGACAGAAACATCAGGAAGAAGGAACATATATATTAGTATATACGTATATTATATATTAGTGTATACTTACCTATTAGTATATGAGAGTTTTAAAAAGTTGTATTTCACAGGACTGAACCTGTGCTAAAAGATTGCTGAAAATTATTCAAATTCTCTTTGAATTTAAGCATACGTTCTTTGTGTTTATTCTGCATTTACTTCATTATATTGCATAAATGTCAGTTACAGGCTTAAATATATTGTTGAAAACTGTAATTACAACCAGGATAGATGAAGTAAGCAATTACTCACAATTATTTACAGAAAACTGTGAGATTAATTTGTTAGTTTTTTTAATCTATTGGCAGCAATAATATATATAGCAGCAAGGGGGCAGTTGCCTTCCTTCTACTCCTTTTTGAGTGTTAAATTATAATCATGGTTTTTCTTATGTTTAGTTCATGCTTTTCCTTGTTGTCATAGTATTTGAATATGTTAAAAATAAAGCCACATTACTACAGATTACATTCCCTCTAACCTCCCTAAATAAATCTTCATCATTCTTAATAGGCTTTATCCTATTACCTCTCTCTTTTTATCAGACAAAGGGCCTTGAACATTAATACAGCACATATGAGGCTGAATGGTCCAGCAGGGGGCAGGGGCCTGGGAGACAGCTGTGCAGCTTTTCCTGACACATTTTCTAAAAATTAATGGCCCGAAAAAATAAGCCATGCAGACTGTAGGCTGCAGCAAGCAGAAGGTGTCACTGATATATTCATAACAACTAAAGAAAATAAGCAAGTAAATTTCAGTGAAACTGTAAGATGAAAAGCCTTACATATGAGTATGAGCAGCCTGGGAAGTTTACATGAAACATGTTAGGTGCAGATTGAGTACGCGAAGGATGGGAAAAGGAAAAAATTTGCCCTTCTTAGTGTGTAGCTATAAAACACCACCATCAGCACCATTTCAACACTCATATTCTTAAAGAAAACCACAAAAAATGCATATTCCTTTTTTTATTGGATTCCTTTATTCAACTTGTTTATTGATAAGTTGGATTCATTGTTTTTTTCCCCCTCTTAATTATCTTTCACAGTTTATTCCAGGTGGCAGATAAAACTGGTTCTAGTCCAACAGCAGTCCTGATTTATTTTACCATGCTGAGGCAGGAACATGTCATAACTTCAATGAGCGGACAAGGAGCAAGCCAGAGTAAAGCAAAATGCAACGCCTTCAAGAAGTTTGGATTTCTTCATCTTTTTATATCAAATGTACTCAGTCAAGGCAGATAAGACACATGTACACGGCAATTAAAACAAAACAAAACAAAAAAGCTTTGCATAACATTGAATATTTAAATGTGTAGAAAAGCTGTACTTTATGGACACATCTCAATCCAAACACAGGGGTGTGGGAAGGCAAACTGTATTTACACATGATTATTTCCGTTTCAATGATCTGTGACTAGTGTCTTGGAATTTAAAAGATTTCCTTTTAATACCCTCATGGGTTGCATAAAAATGTCTTCCTATTTGAACTGAGGATGCAGATAGCAAAACAAAAACGCCTATACACAGTGTCATTAACTTGTGCAGTTTCTTAGCGAAACTGTTGATTAGATTGATCAGATCACAACTGGTTTATTTAGTGTGCTTGCTGACCCACCTTACTATTCTCCTTACACACAAATGTGAAGATTTCACAAGCAACTGGAACTGCTCTGAGTCCTGATTTGCTGTACTAAACCCTCACTATGACAACAAAACACTGTTTTCCTAGCAGAAGATATCATTACCATGACGGCGTGGAACTGTATTACAGAACTAAGAGCTAATCATAGGTTTCACTTTGTCATCACATGGAGGTGTCTAATTTAAAAACACTGCAGATAAAGCATGTAACCTTTCTATGACAAGGGTGTTAACAGTGTGCACTGCAGCCACACATACTGGCGCTTGATGGGAAATGCTGGACGGAGACAGGAAAGAATAAGCTAACAATACTGCTTTTGTGTTTATGCTGTGATGCTCTATTTTAATTGCACTTTTTTCAAAAACCTCAGAGAATGCTGTCTTTTGTTTGACATTTTAGGAAATATATATATCATTTGTGTCCTAAAGGTACAATCAGCAGCAAGTTATCTTAGCTTAGCAAAAACACGCAAGCAGCCTTTGTCCAAATGCTACAAAGCTCATAGGCTAGGGCTATAAAAATTTTATCTTTAATTTGTTTTCCATTTTTTTTAAGTACACAGATGACCAAAGATTAAATTTGAGTGTGAGTTGACTATTAGTGGATTTAGTTTAGTTACTTTAGTTGTTATTTCTGAGCTACAGTAAGTTAAGCTAATCTAAGATACATTTACAGCTAGTGCTACTTAGCTTGGGTTAGTAAAAACAGTTAAAAAAAAAGTTAAATTGGTTCTGTCAAGTCTATCTCCGTGGATCTGTGAAGTGGTTTAATTGGCTCTTTGGTCTAACTGTTACAAAGCACTTTTTTTTATTAGATTACTTTTTAAAACGTTTTCCTCAATGGTTATCTCCCTTACATTGTTTGTTGCAGAAACACCATTATCACACCAAAGTGACTTCCTCTGTGTGAGGCAATTACTTGCAATTGCAATCTAGGAATAGTTTAAGAGTAAATTATTTCATAATTTTTTGCAATTTTTGAAGAAACACAGAAACAATAAACTTTTTAATACTAGGGGTAAAAAAACAACAACAAAAAAACAAAACCCAAACACAGATCTGTCACTTTTTGGGTCGGTTAACATAAAAGAACATTACATATAAATAATAATATTAGCTGTTATTCTGACCACTAGCCATCTCTTGTGAGTAGTGCTAAGCAAAATTTAACAGATTTTTTCAGTTACACAGAATACAATCACAATGGTACATTTAAGTGCTGTGTCACTGACACAAGTGTAAGCAACTTGACAGCTGACATGTTGATTAAACATGATCCGACTGGTTGATTTATGTATGGGAAACCCAAAAGTACTTCTAGCGCTAATTAAGTTTCCAATCACAATGTAAAGTTGCTCTTGTCTTCCTCTTTCTCACATACACATACTGATGGAAATTAGTCTACAGCATCAGACCCTGACAATGATTAACAGAAAGGCCAAGTGGGTGTTGGATTTTCAAAATAAAAGCCAGCTATATCCTAACAGTAGACTAATATGCTTTAATATATGTGTAATTTACAAAACAAAATTAATTATTTTATAAAATTAACAACACTGATAATTAAGAGTTTTAGAAGAGAGTTTATCAAATTCATTGTGCCACATTTTAAAATTGGAAACCTATTTCATTAAAAAAAACAAACAAAAAAAAAAAAAACTTTTTAGGATGCAAGTATCATGCATTTTCTCCCTATAATGTTTTTACCCCCAACTTTCTGCAACAAGCAACAGACCAAGTCTAGTATTGTTGCTACTTCAGAAATTGCAGTTTGGTTTTATCTTGGGTAGTTAAATGGGAGTTGTGATTTTGCCAGGGATATGTAGCTGTATGCTAAGCTACTAGTTACACTTTGCTGTAGATAAATATTTACTCCACAGAAACCAAGAAAATTGTTTTAAATTATATTTCTCATAGTGAAATAGGTGTTTTAGTACAGGGATAGCTAACTGGTTTCAGACCTGCAATTTTGCTAATGGACACATATTAACATTCACTTCACTTTCATAGACGAGTGCAGCTTTGCTTATAGTGTTTTCACTTGCTCAAATCACTCATAGTATCAAATGAAAACTTGCATCACAGCATAAAAAGTCTGGGTACCAAATGCACATAAGTATTCAAAGATCATCATGCTTTCCTAAAGTTCAAATTATGTCACATATCATTCATTCACTACACTGGACAAGAAACACAACATGAAATAAAGGTGCAAATATGAAACATCCCAATAGAAAGTACAAGAAAGTAATAAATCACATACCTAGACCAGCGCTAATTTCAGCCAAATTCAAAGTCTTATAGAGCAACAGATATATTTTGACTAGACATATTTTTTTTTCAAATTATAACACGGTCTAGCTATGTGTACAACTCATTTTAAGTTACATTTACATATCATCAGGCATTATTACATATCACATATCGTCCAACTGATCCAAATTTAGCCAAGAAAATCAAGATACATGATTAGCATTAGAAATATCCCTTGTTTAAAGTATTATTTTCGCTTTAGTAGAGCATAAAGGCACTGGACCTTGTTCAGTGTATCAGAGTGGACAAGAACATAAAGCACAAACCTATGAACATAGTTCAACTTTGACTCAGAGGAATATAGTATTGTGGTACAATACTCCATGCACTTTCCAGTTAGTCATCCTTCGTTGCTAAATAACAGCATGTCATGATCACATTTATCACTCTCAAATAGCATTTACAGCATTTTTAAGAAACAGCTCTTTCAAAACAAGTACACCACTTTCAATCCGCAAGGGCTGCAAGTCCACACAAACATATGCCGTGTTGGCTTGTGTGTCAGCAGGTTACTTTTCCCTTGTGCAAACAAAAAGAAAAAGAAACAGTTCTAACAGGCTCAGTTATTCCTGTGCTACAATGTAAAATGACAATAACGGCATGAATAAATCACAAAACTTACCTCATAAGTTCAGGTAATGATAAAAAAAACAACACTGATTGAAATGTAATTTAGTGACAGGATTTTTCTGTCTCTTTCTGTCACGCCCTCACTCAATTCAACATCATGTATCAAAGAGACCACTGTTGGCACTTGACAAGTATAGTACAGTTACCAAGAGACGACTTCCAGCAGCCCCTCTGAAGAAATGCACTGGCTGTGCATTTTTCTTTTTCTTCTTTTGGTCTACGAGTTCTGCTAGCAGTGGAAACGTACCAAAGATTCAGTCATTGATGATTAGAGTCAAATAAAAGGTGAGGTACTTATGTGTGTGTGTTCATTTTGTCTAATTAGCAAATGTTCATTTTTGCTTATAGATGTTTTCCCCTTGACAATGAACCTTAAAAAAAAGAATTGTCATAGTCCTGAAAAATCCCATTTGGCAAAGAAAACCATTTGAACACCAGGTTAAAATGCATCTTGGCTAAACATTCTAGGGAATATCGTACTTAAGACAACATTTCTAATGGCTTTTACTTTGAACTAAAGCTCTATTTGGCACCCCAGCGCTTGTTTAAAGGAAACCAGAGAAAAATCCTTCTATAAACACAACTTTTAATCTTCTTTCTTCAACTGACCACTCAACACAGACAGCATCGTCAGAAGAAAAGTTGATAAAATAAATAAAAAATGTTGTATTGTCCGATACATAAGCGTACCGAACCGAAAGCACTGTATTGAACGGTTCAATATCGATACGAGTATCGTTGCACCCCTAGTGTATATGTGTGTGTGACTTTTAGTTTTTTCCCATGTTCCCCTTGGTCCTGTTCTAGAAGACAGATTCATCAAACACTGAGTCTAACTGATTAAATAAAAGATGGGAAACTCAGTTCTTGGCTCTAGAAAGGATGATAACACTTAGTTCAGTCAACTCGGAGCATGTTCACCCTGAGTTAGACATGTATGTGAGTGGTGGAAAAAAAAGCTCTCCTTGATCAAGCTAACAAGGAGGGTTCCTGGCAACAGGGACATAAACAGCAGAGCACCTGTTTTAATCCAGCGTACTCTGAAGTATGAATATGTATCAAGAGTCATCTTATTCACCTCACCACTCAATTGAGTTTTTGTTATTAGATAAAGCTGACATCCTTAGCAGAAATTTACATTTAAATTCAACAATAAAAGATGTAGCTTGACGAGGATAAAATTCAGATGACAGCAAGTGAAGCTAAGACGTTTTAATGATGGACTTTGGACCCTCAGAAACTGAATTTGGTAATCTTCGGTGGAAGAGAGGTCCAGGTTCAAACGTAAAATTTTTAGACTATTTAAAATCTTGGCCGATGGCTTTTAATGACTCAACTTCAAAGTTTACCTTTTTCCCTTCCTCTATTAAATTTAGCTTCTATTCAAGTTACTAGGAACTACCATTATCTCTAGTCTTTTAGTCTTATTTGTCCCCCTTTCCGCCCTCCACTTCTTTTATTCTTGATTAACAAAGTCCCAGAGGGGAATGCGCTCCAGCTGCCCCTTCTGTCAGTTACACACAGTCAGTGCACAAAATCCATCCCCCAACCATCCACTCCCATACTTTCACATGTATTAGTCCCAGATGATGCTTTCCATACAGACACTCAACCATGCACACATACACAATTTCAGAAACACAGGTAGATATGGCTAGTTTCAGGAATGTGTAAATATGTTATGTAGTGTGAGTGTGTGCCTGCATGTGTCACTGTGTTCCTTTTTCCCTAGTGTGGCTCATATGGGTGGAGGACATTCTCATAGTAATTAGGGATCAGCTGGGCTAGGGTGGGGGTGGGGATTGGGGGTTTACAGCAGGAATGCGTAGGGAGACAGATGGAGCTGTGTGCAATCGCTTCACTTTTCAAGGCGCTCTAACTTCCTCCTTCCTGAGGGGCGCAACGTCCCACCCTCACACGAAGTGTGCCGCTTTTGTGCAGATGCCAAAGCTGGACAAACTCCTCAGGCATGGCATGGAACCATTTATAGGGCAGGATGTTGTCGTAGTAATGGTGGCTGACCGGTCGCTGATCCAGGTCGACGGAAAACGGCCAGAAGCCGTAGGTTGTGACTTCCTCACACAGTCCTAGGGCTAAGCTCACCAGGAAGAGCCCTGTGGATAGGCGCCTGGCGTGCACACCGTGGGATTTCCAAAATTTACCCACTGTGCGTAGGAATTCAGGGTTGGCAAAAAGCATGGTGAGGTTGGAGGAGGAATCTGCCAGTGTGTAATATGCCCGCAGTGATGGGTCTGTGCCAGGCCTCATGGAAAACGCAGGCATGTAGATGTAGCTTGAGCCATAGACCTTCATACTATCCACAAAATCTTTTCTTGACCACAGAAGGCTCTGAAATCTGAGTAAGAGAGAAAGATAGATAAAAAGATGACTGTATAACTGTATACTTTAGAGTGATCGCTAACCTGGTGACTTCTCTGCAAACTAAAAATTGCTTTCTTCAGTTGCTTTCTCTTTCTGCCAGTTGTTAAAGGAAATGACCTTGCTATGCTGGTGCAATGGGGCACCAGCATAGCAATGGGGGCATCTACCATTAATGGGGCATCTACCATTAGCGACCCCTGCCACAAGACCTCGCCTACAGTGGAAACGTCTCAGGCAGTGCGAGAGGAGACAAAAGATGGGTAGGCGCTGAGGCATCCGGAGCAGGCTAGCGGCTAATCCACACAAACCCGCTACTCCCACTATTGCACTGTTCAACGTGCACTCCCCAGGCTGGATCATGTACACTTACTTCGGTCCACCTTGAAGTCAGTGAGAGAGTGTTGTGTCTTCGTTTTTGTGGAAACCTGGCTTAACAATAAGATTCCCAACAGCGCCATTCAACTCGACCGGCTAACATGCTTTCGAGCCCCCCCCCCCAAACATACAAACTCTGACCCACCACCATTGCCCTTTCACTGACTGCCCCACACGAACTTGCCCACAATCACTATGATTGTCTTGGACACTGCTGTTTAAATAATTGTATAGTATTGTATTGTGTTTTACATAAGACTTTTCTTTTCTTTTATTATTATTATTTTTCCCTTTTTGTCTTTATATTTTTAGCGTACACTGAGGGCCATGGGAGCAAAGTCCTGTGTAAGACTGTACATATGGTCTTTGACAATAAAGCTGACTTTGACTTTGAGTGTTTCTGGTCAAGTGACAAATGTACATTTGCTTAGTGTTTGTAACAGGGGTGCAGTTTCCAACTTGTTTACCTTTTCTCTATGATGCTTGGGTTGGCTGTAACCAGATGTGTCTTTGTGCCCACATCCTCCGCATATTCCTTTGAGATTGGTGGAAGGTTACACCTAAATAAACAGAACAAACATGAGTCTGAGTTTTCAGTTGGACAACGGCAGATCAGCTCTGAACATGTTTAGCCCAAGTTAAGTGCATGCGTGAGTAGAGAAAGAAAACCATCATTAATGGAGCTCCAATACTGAGATTCACCATAGCAACAGGTAAATAAAGAGCAGAGCATCCATTTTAATCCAGTGGACCGAGGAATAACAATGTGGCCACTATAGGCTATGATATTTTTTTTTAATAAACAGGAAGGGAAAAAGGAGTCATTTCAAATTGCTTGATCCGCTCATGATCACAGACACTACACTTTCTGTGGTCACCTATTACCAAACGTAATTTTTTAGAGAGTCACTTTGACTACGTTCACACTGCAGGCGAAAGCGCATCAAATCTGACTTTTCTGATCCTATGCGACCCATGTCCGATTATGGTATGACAGTTTGAAAAGCAAAAATCAGATATTTTCAAATCTGATCTAGGTCACTTTCGTATGTGGTATTGAATCCAATAAATATCTGATGTTTTAGAAAGCGACTGCTGTTTGAATGGTCATGTCGCATTAAATCTGAATGTCAGACACTATATGTTTACATAATTTAACGACTGCATCTCAGCCTGTGACCAACTGTCACCATGAAATGTTCAGAACACAGGGTGTCTAGAGGCTGAATTTAACACTTACATATTTAGTTCGGTTTTAGATTCTTGAACTCAATTCGACTCGATTTATTTCAAATATTCACCCCCAAGATCCCAACTGTGACAGCCTTATCTTTTTTAAATCAACGTGAATGATATCCAGTATGGCAAATGACAGATTGTTGATCAGTGTGTTATCTGCCCTAAGCTTTATACAGAGTTAAATAATGATTGCTAAAGTATATCAACATTTTTCCAGAGAAATAAGTTAATGTTTCTATGCTGTCCCCAGAGTCACAGAGTTAAATAAATGGAGACCAGTTTTTCCAGGTTTTTCCCTGAATTGATAAGAAATGTACCATAATCACTGTCTTTATTCTCACATTGACAACTGATTATAAAGCGGTGATGGTTAAGGAGGAAAAATAACAAATGTCTAAGTAGGATTTCAGCAAGTGTAAAAACATAAACTTAATTCATTTAAATTTTTCAGACCAGAAGTCGCACTGGATTATAAGGCGCACTGTCGTTGAACAGGTCTGTTTTCATACATAAGGCGCACCAGATTATAAGGTGCATTAAGCAAAACAAAACAGTCAGATAAGTCAAACTTTACTGAACTCATTCTTCTTGCTTCCTCCACTTCCGTACCATTAATTCGTTAATGTTGAATTCTGTTGCAGCTGCTCTATTCCCATGTTGTTGCAGTATATTAATGACTAACCTCATATTGTGGGTAGATTATCTCAGTTGTTCTCCTGACTGAAGTTTGGTCCGTTTAATGGTCCGTTTAATTTTTATCGAGTGGAAAAAAGTTAGCATTATGCTAACATAGCTGTATCGCTAGCGATCACGTAGCACATCATTATATACTAGCTAGTGCAACTTCAGTAACCCGGCCTGCAAACATCACTGTTGTTTAGTTTTCTGTCTTCATTTATGTTGGAAGTGATAGCAGAGCTGTATGTTTTAATTTTTTCAGAAATCTCTCAGTCAGAACATGCTATATCATGTTTAGGTAGAAACTAGCAAGCTAACTTCCTTCTAACTTTAACTCCATTAAATTTAATAAATTCCGTTTTCATGCCTGGATGTTAAACTTAATTGTCACACCTGGTAAAGCAGCAACGCTGATCATTTTATTAAAAATGAGCAAATTTAGACAGTTTTTAACTCTCAGTGATGCCGCAGTGTTCATTTGGCTTTGGGACCTGAAGCAGACAGAGTTTTGGACACAGATTACTCCGCAGGGTTCCTGACTATCCATCAAGCGGAACGGCTTTGTAGCTTACAAAAGTTGTATTAAAACATTTTTTGACAGATTTTTGAGTGCCGTGTACCACATAAAATCTGTTTGAGGCCAGTAAGCACAACCAGAATTCATACATAAGGCGCACCAATTATAAGGCGCAGTGTTGAATTTTGAGAAAATGTAAGGATTTTAAGTGCACTTTATAGTGCAGAAAATGTGGTAAATTAAATTAATTCACTCTATTTATTCACTCTAGTATTATGCACTGTGACAGCAACTTAATGAGGAAGGAAATTTAGTCAGAGAGAAAGCGAGGTTATGGAAGAAAATGTCTGTTACTCTGGTAACTGGCTCAGAGCTGACAGGACTTGCGGATAGGAAGAACAAAATGAAGTGGAAATGATGAAGAAAGAAAGAGCAGAGCTGGAGCAGGAAGAGGCATAATGACAAAGAGATCATGATATGTGTAAATGTTAAACGGTCATGTATAGTTTGAAAGAGTTATTTCAGATTTTTAAGTTAAGAGTAATTTATAAGATGTACTATGTATGTGGCTGGTTTCTAGACACAGAAATAAAATGCTATTAGGTGGAACAGAGATGTTCATCTTCGCCACAGCAATCTAGACGGTGGGGCAACATGGTGGCTTCCACAAATCAGGGGACGCTCCTATTATTTTTAATGGATGGAAATCTAAGTTTATGCAAATACATGATTAATTGGAAGATGTAATTACACAATGGATCAATGAATATTTATGAGTAGAGTATTTTTTTCTATTAATTAAACTCAAAAATGCTTACTGTACCTTTAAGTTAACTCTCTTTCTGGAATAGAAAACTCAAAGCTAACAGACAGCTCAACAGACATACAGCTGTTACCTAAACCTTCTTCCTGGAATAGGGTCAACAGTCAAAGTAAATTTAGAAGGTGACTCAAAATATAACCACTAAGCACACAGACAAAAAACACATACTCAACATTATACAGACAACCTAATTTAAACATAACAAGATAGAAACAGTTTCACTTCACTGTCACTCAAAGCAAAGAAATGCTCTGCTGTGTTTTCTCGAGGCGGACAATCAGCTGTGCTTTGTGTTTAGACTGACACATACCTAGCCAGAGTACATCAGTTACCACGAATTAAAAGACGTTTGTGCAAATCCAGAAGTATTCACTATTTCCTGGCGCTCTCAAAGGTCATCCTTTAGTTGAAATTCATATGTCATGCATTTTTCTGCATGCATGAGGTCTGTTGACTGTTGATGGTACATTAGTTCTTCAACTTGAACTTCTACTGCCCTTATAACTGATGAAAATGTACCTTTCCCCCCCTGGTCTCCTCCTCAGTCTCAAGTCTTTGGTTACTTTTTAAAAATGCCAAGACAATCAGCTTGTTTATAAAATACAATCGATAGTCCTATTATAATATAACAGAAGATAAATATCTGACATACCCCATCAGATATTTTTTTTCTGCTTAACCTCTTTTCCTTCACATCCTCACTGTGGCCCATTTTTCTGTCTCTGTTCTTCCTTTTTTGTTGAAATCGACACCAGCTCTTATAATCACTGATGGTATCTAGCAGGTCTCTGGGGCACTGCTGATTCAAATTTGGAGTGGTTTTTGTTTCTTACCTCATAACAAAGTCGGCCTGGTCGATATCCCTGCCACACTTGCTGTGCCTGAGAATGCCGCCATTGCCCACCACCGCACACTTCTTCAGGGGAAGCTGCAAAGGGTTTTCCTGCACAGGAGACAACATTAAGCTTTGTTAGAATGCACACAGCCAGTAGCTCCTAAACAGGGCCTAGTGCTAATGTGCCTTTATAGCCCCCGGGTGCTGACCGACAAAACCAGCAAAGTGATAAGAAGAGTTGAGGCAGGCTGAGGTAATAGAGATGGATCATACACAGTTTCTGTGTATTACCCAGGACTTTAAACGTGGCATGGTTGTTGGTGCAAGAGAATTTCAGAAACTGCTGATCTATGGAGATTTTCCATACAACCACTGCCTGACAGGAGTTCTCAGCAAAAATGCCTTGTTGATGCCAGAAATCCAACAATAATGGCCAGATTTTAAGCTGACAGGACAGCAACAGTAACTCAATAATCACTTGTTACAACTACAGTATGCCAAAAAGCATCTCTATATGTACGGCACATTGAAACCAATAAACCATGAATTTCGCACCCGAGCCTCAACTCTTGCGGCCCGGTACCAAACGACCTGGGGGTTGGGGTCTGCTGCTTTACACAACATGCCTCATTCACTCATTCAGCCATTCACATAAGCACTGTTGTCTACGTCTAAGTGCTTTCTAACACGCACACTGTAATGACACACATATTCCTGCTTTCTGATAAATGCATCAGAGATCAAATTATGAATCAGTATCTTGGCATGCAGACTGGAGCAGCCAAGGATCACATCACCAATATTCCAATTGATGGAGAGCACTGCTCTAACCTGTATACACCTTTCAACGTTGCTGGTGCCTTTTCCAGGGAACCATTTCCACTAAAGCACCTCCACATCAACAGAGATGCAGACTTTTTAGGTGAGCGCTGACAATACACCTCACAGTCCCTCTGCTTTTTAATCTAGAGGATATGGTGTCCATATCCCCCCCCCCCCAATTTCAACTTTAAAATCTTCCGTTTTCCACTTTACTGGAGTCCATTTGAAATAAACAACCAACAAGGAAGTGAGAACAAAAATGTCACTACCAGTAATCAATTTTGTTGCAGTGAATCATTATCTTACTATCACCACAGCTGAAAACTTATTAAGGACAGGATTAAAGCTGCTGCAGAAGACACTGAAACACCACCCAAAAGAAATGTCCTCTCTTTGTGCATTGACTGCATATAACTCAAGGGAATGGATTAAGCGAGACAGTGGAAACAATTGTTCTCATTATTCCCCTCAGAGTGCACCCGCTTCAGGCACACACACACACATATAGAGACTCTTTGCCCTTAGAGTCTCTTTTAGACCTTTAACAGCAAACCAAGAAGAGGACAGGAACCAGAAAAACAAGCTAAAGCTGTAAAGCTCTAAAGGAAGACACTTGTTTCTTTAGCAACAGCACCAACTACTTTGCAAGCTCCTTTGACCACCAACTACTTACATTAAACCAAATCTTTTACTAATACGTGGACAGATTTTTTCTTTGGCTTGTTAAGTTGACCTGATTTATCCAACTGACGGAACAGACAAATTTACCATGATATAAAAGAGAAAACATGTTTAAGTAGTTAGTGTTGGACTTCTGTTCTATTTTTTGGTGTTATAATGTGCATGTAAGATTTTTCACTCAGTCAGTTGTGCTGCATACACTGTCAAAGGTCTAGAGAAAAGGAAACACATCACTAAGTAAACATAAAAAAAGATTATAGGACTCTAATGCTCAGTTCACTGAGCTGTATGTATATATGCTCTGTTTCAGTCACTGAACTAACCAGCAATTAACTGTCAAAGCCCTAATTGGCACATTCCCTGGCACATGCCCAGATACTGTAGCTGCTGCCAGCTTGGTGCAGCGTGGCTGCTTGTCTGCATTCAGACCTGCAATCACAGCAATGGGAGTTGAGAAGAAGGGAGTGCTTGTGTGTCTGAATTTGAGCACAGTACATCCCACCTAACTATCAGTTGTCTTTTTACTGGGAACCATAACTAGCCACAATATAGGTTTAAGGAAGTGAAACAGTCCCCATAAAAATATGCAATAGACACAAGGACATGGCTCTAGAGAGGAGCAGGGAAATGAAAAGATGACCTAATCATAGTATTTAGTCAGAAAAACACACTTGGAATAAAGGAAATGTTGGGCAAAACAGTCACTTTATAGAGTCAGTTCACTTAAAAACACAAAACCCACCATGTTACCTTATCGCACTGTTTTCTAATGGAAATAATGTTCAGCTCCACTGTTTACAGTGTTCTGAGCACTGTCTACCACACATGTCGATTAACAAGTACATGAAGTGGAAAACTGGAAATACTATACATTGCAGGAAATGTAATAAACAACTACTCCATCATCTTTGCCTGTAATCAGACTCTAACACACTATCTGTACATCTAAAGAATATCAGCTGAAAACCTCATTTTAGATTTTTTTTTTTGCTCTCTTTGCATGTTGTGAGTTGCTGGTCTCCTATGTCTTGAAAAAAGAGCTTATTCAATGTGCAACAAGCAGATTTGCAGTTTTCATCGAAAGTGTTAACGACAAGTTTGAGGTGAGAAAAAAAATTGTTAGGTTTGTGTCCCCTGTACGGCCAGACCAAAGCTACAGATAGATTTCAGCAGCTGTAGATTGTTATTGAGTGGCTTGGTATGAAGTGGAATAGATTGGTGGGCATTAGCACTGGCATTAGCACTGGTACTGAGAAACTTAGAGAAGGAAAATGGAGATCCAACAGTGGTTCTGCACTGCATTATACATCAACATGCAGCAAATACTCGACATGTAAACATACCATGCTGTTCTCCTGAAATGTGTAAATTACACCAGATGCAGAGGTTTAAAACACTGCCAATTCTGAGCATTTTGAGACCAAACAAAGGCATTGTATGTACTGCAATTTAAAGAAGTGCGTTGGCTCAGCAGGGGAAACGTGTTAAAAAGATTTTTTTAAGTTAAGCTGAAGTGATGCATTTCATGGTGAAGCGTTTCATGGAAATTAGAAGACTGGATGTTCCTGAGATTAATGATCCAAAAAAGTATAATGGATTTGGCATTCCTTGTAGACATGACACAGGAGCTAAAAATCCTGAACCTAGATCTACAGGATCCCGGACAGCTCATCACAACAGCCTATGAGACTGAACTGTGTAAAACTCAGCGTTGTGGGGTTTTTTTTGTAGTCTTCGAACACTACCGTGGGCCTCCAATGAAACGACCCCAGCTCATCTGAGATTGAGACCCCTGCTCTCAATGTAAACAACAAAGCAAGGTTCCCAGTATACTTAATTGAAAACAGGGCTGTTTCGGAAATCGCAAAACCAAGGTATATAGTTCCATTAGAATTAAAAAAATAAAAAAATAAACAGTGATTTGGATTATAGTTGACACATCACCAAAACCAAAAGGCGAGGTCTTGAAAACTGCTTGATTTGTCCAAATTACATACATTTATTTTGCCATCATCTAAAAAAAAAATGAAAGCCAGCATATTTTAGGTCATCCTCTACCTCCCTTACTTATGGTGTCCCTCAAGGGTCAGTTTTGGGGCCTTTATTGTTTTTAATATATCTTCTCCCCCTCCAGCATATAATGGGCTCTTTTGAGGACATTTCTTATCATTGTTATGCTGATGATATTCAGTTGTACGTTTCTTTTATGCCCGAGGATTTATCTAAGCTTCAGCGTCTGAATGATTGCTTAGATTTGATCAAACGTTGGATGGCTGCAAATTTCCTCCAACTCAACGAGGGGAAAACCGAAGTCCTCGTATGCGCCCCTGATAGGTTTCTATCGCAGATAGTGAAAGCCCTTGGTCCTCTCTCACTTTATGTTAAATCCTCTATCAGGAATTTAGGTGTCACCTTTGACTCGAGTCTCACATTGGATGGGCATTTGAAATCTCTGGTTCGGTCTTGTTTATATCATTTAAGAAATGTGGCTAGGCTAAGCCCGGTTTTATCTCGCTCTGAACTTAAGATTGCTATACATGCTTTTATTTCGTCACGCTTGGATTATTGTAATTCGCTGTTTATGTGTCTAAGCAAAGGTTCTCTGGATCATCTGCAGGTTGTGCAAAACGCTGCAGCTAGGCTTTTGACAAAATCCTCCAAGTACTCACATGTGACACCGTTATTATCTCAGTTACACTGGCTTCCTGTTAAATTAAGAGTTGATTTTAAGATCCTGGTCTTTACCTACAGAGCTGTGCACGGACTGGCACCAGCCTACATCTTTGATCTGCTACAGCCCTATGTCCCTAGCAGGTCTTTGAGGTCATCTGATCAGGGCTTAATTGCTATAAAAAATACTAAGAGGAGGACTAAGGGTGACAGAGCTTTTGCCACCGAGGCCCCAAGCATTAAGAACTGTGGACTCAGTAGATGTTTTTAAAAAACAACTCAAAACTTACCTTTTTAAAACTGCTTTTGATTAATTTTATGCCTGTTTTATTTTCTCTTTTTAAATCTTTTTATGACTCGTAATCTTATGTGCAGCACTTTGTGATTCTGTCTTGAAAGGTGCTATATAAATAAAAATGTATTTATTTATTTATTATTCTATATTTGAAATATAAAATTTGAAAAAGAATTAGGCATAAACATGAAAGCATGAATTCATTCTGCTTGTAGCAACAAAATCAGTTTAGGCTGGTGGTGGTGACGTAATGGTGTGAGGGCACACTCTAGGCCCCCTTTGTATCAACTGAGGATCATTTACGGCCACACCCTACCCAAGTATTATTGCTGGCCATGTCCATTCCTTTATGACCATAGTGTATCCATCTTCTAATAGCCACTTTTAGCAGGATGAACCTTCTCACAAAGTTCAATAAAATACAATCTGGCTTCTTGAACATAACAATAAGTTCACTGTCCTGAAATAGCCTCCACAGTCACCAGATCTCAATGCATCAGAGCACTCTGCACGTGGAGGACAGGATGAATCTCGTCATAGATGTGCAGCACATAAATATACAGCAACTGTGTGATACTGTCATGTCAATAAGGATGGAAATCTCTGATGAATGTTACCTCTACCGTGTGGAATATGTTATACACAAATAATTAAGGCAGTTCAAGCTAGTACTAACAAACTGTACCTAATAAAGTGTCCGGTGACAGTAAGTCTATGTTTAAACCAATATATTAAATGCAAATGGAAACAAACACAAGTGCCTAGGTTGGTCATTTTATTTAATTATTCACACTCACCTCCCCCTGTCCTTCATGAAAGAACATGCACAGCTCATGCCTGGAAATTAGGGTAAAATATTCATCACATGTACCAAGAAGGATATTTGACAGCAGATCTAAAGCCTCAGAGAAAGAACTCAATACGGTAAACACAGCACAACAGCACTTACACCTATAGCTCCCCTTTCGTTGCTGTTTCTACTCATGAACACAAAAAACCCTCTTTCCTTTTTTCCTAAGTGAAAATAGAGCAAAAAAGAAAGACCTTGAAGCCGCGCCCCTTTCCAGTTTTAAGTAGTGTTGCAACAACACTGTCCTAGACTTAAGTGGAGAAAGAAAACCAGAACAAGACTTATATAGTTGAGTGTTATAAAAGGACAGAGCAGGAATTGCAGGGAATAACTAACTGTATTATCTTTTTCAGCTTTCAAGTTGCCCCAAACCACTAATCCCGTCGCATCTTCATATCGACTCCTGTCCACACTAAGAGCTGTAGATCTGTAATCCTCTCCCCTCCTCCATTATGGATCAGCTAGATTTCACACTAACACAGTCACCACAACACATCTGTAATGCACTGGGTAGGACAGAAATCAATTTTCAGTTATTTGGTCTCAGTCACATCTCAAAGACACAGCTGCCGGTCTTAAAAACATGCATCTCTAGATGTGGAAAAGTCAAAACCCCACAAAAAAACCAAGAGGAAGGACTCGTATGTGAACTGACCGTCACAGCAACTCAGACAGCACTATTTTCTGAGAAACATAAGAGCGTTACTTATCAGTATACCTGTACAAAGAGAGAGTACGTGTTGTTGTTGACCGTGTGCGAGTAGTAAAACTCGCCATCGTACCACAGGACTTTGCCCACAGGGGAGTTCTCCTTGGTCACTGCAAACATCCGCTTCGGATCGCAGCATTCTGACAGCAGCTTCCTGTGGAGAGAGGAGGAAACACCTGACTGTTTTTAAAATACTTTCTGGTGATAACTAGACAATGACAGGCAATAACACATCTGTAGCTATCTTCCCAAAGGAAGGCACCTGACGATTAGTCCATAGGACTAAACTAAATTAGATACTTTAACTATATTACATGATTACATCAGGCTAATTTTAAACTGCCTTTTCTCTTATCTGTTAATCTGTTAAGTCATTAACATATAAAAGGTCTTTATAGCTCCATTAAAAGAGAACCACAGAAACAACCCAGCTCCAAGTGAGTATCACATCCTCCAGCAGGCATGCTCTTCAGGGGTCACTTTCTCTGATTACCCTGTAATCAGCTTTGCCTCTGAGAATGTTGACTAAGATATAAATAAAGCTGCTACTCTGTAACTAACACACTCAGAGCTCTTCTTTTGCTTTGTCCGTGGTCATCTTTGTGGCTGAGACACTACTGTAATACATTAGAATTACTCTCTTTAGAATTATGGTTTTGTTTGTCATAATTATTGGTCTTAAAGCACCAAAATATTAAAAGCATGTATTAATTACAAAATTGAAACTGAAATTAGAGGCTTATTTTTTCCTGGGAATCAGTTACATTCAGCAATAAGCCTTAAAATTATTATCAATCATTTCATCTTCTCTTGAAACACACTTAAATCCAATGGGGAGGGGGGCACACGGCCAATCACAGCTTGAAGCTTATTAAAGGAAATTCAGAGCTCTGAGTCGAACCTGTACAAATCGATGCCGGTCTGGTTCTTCTGCCAGTCTTCCCCCTGCCTCAGCACCTCCTCCACTATTTCTTTATCGCTCGGCAGTCTGTAGACAGGGAAAACGTAAAACCAGCAAAGCACCAGCACGCACAGAGCGGCCCACGCCGACAATTTGGCCCGGTAGCATCGCAGAAACATCTTTCCCTTTTATTTTATTTTCCCTCTATCCCTCTCCTTTTTTTTTTTTCTTATCTGTTTCTCAAAACCACCAGCAGAGCGAAGCCTGTGGTGTGAAACGCAGTCTTTTCAAAGCAGGTCTCTCTGTCCGTCCCGAATCCCCGTCTCATCCCGCAGACGCGGTGGGGGTATGAATGGAGGAGCAAGGTAGTCTGTTATCCAGTTGTTTGGCTCGAGCATCAGTTTGGAAATCCGTTTTTTTCTTGGCGAGGTTTTAACAGCGAGAAGGGTCTATCCCTGCAACGGCTGGCGCTGGGTTGCGGGGCTGTGGGGCAGCGTGTGTGGCTCTGCAGGAATCTGCTGTTCTGTTCTTGGTGCATCACCATCTCCATTACAGCGCGCGGTTTGTGAGGAGGCACGCGTGTTCCCTCCAAACCCCGCGTCCTGCTGCATCCCGATTCTGTATGTCCCACTCCTTTCTACCTGGATCTCTCTCGACCCCCACGACCACGATCACCGCGCGTTATCGCCCAGATCCTGGACTGTTCTGCTCTGGGGGTCTGCGGTGCAAGTTAATCAGCCAAGTCCGACTCAGCTCCCCTCCACCTCCCCTCTTTCTTCTATCGACACCGCCCCCTCCCTCACCCCTTTTCCCTCAGACAAAGTGCTTCTTGTGCAGTCGGAGGCGCATCAATGCCAATAGTACCTCGTGCGACAACGGAAAACGGCTTTCAAAATAAAAGCACACTCGATCCTTACGGCTCACGCTTGTCCACTTTTCCCCTGCACCTAGCAAGCTGAGAAGGATCTGAACACAATTTAGGTTTGAATTTTATTGAGATTATTTTTTATTAAACTGTCTGCTCTAACACAACATATAGATAAAATCATGGATAAATAGCTCTTGCAGCACGTCATGTTTATTTAGGGATAACACAAACAGTGATGTTATATAAGTTAATCACATAACCCTTTTAATGGTTTTATAGGCCATAAAACCATTAAAAATGGTTATGTGTTATCGTTGTAATGCAACCTTTGTAGTAGATTTTCTCCTCTTGCTGGAAGTTCCTTTTTGCCCTTTAAAATGTTCCAACAAATCGTCTTACTGTTGGAGTGCCACGTTTCTCTCTCTACAAATCTACAAATATATAAAGCAAAATCAACTTTGGTTTAGTCCTGATTAAACATTTAACAGTATATTTACGCATGCCGCACTGTAGAGCATGCTGAGCAAAGGCTTTTGATGTTTTTATGTGCAAGCATGCAATAGCACATGGACTATTATAAGATTATAATGCATCTAGGCTTGCAGTGCATTCGGCCAGACCATATAACACACTCACATAATGTCAATAAAAAAGGGGGGAATAAATTTAAATCTTAAATTTGCAAATGTGTCGATAAAGCAATGCCATAAAACACGTGCCTTAGAGCATATTGTGTAATCTTGTATCTGTTATGATACCAGTTACAGGTCTTAATCTATTTTACATGAAAAATATGCTATTCTAATCCCATATAAGAAGGTGAAGCTGAAGGTACTGTCCTTTTAACACTAAAATGTTAACTTTCAACCTTAATGTTAAACATTCTGGCTTAAAGAGCAGATAAACACATCAAAATCCAAAGAAGACTTCTTATCTCAAGGAGCTGGAACCTCAGCGGAGCGTGCGACTCCAAAGTTTGCTGTACCAAGTTTAGCCATCAGCGCTTCTCTTTCTTCTTTGGACTTGCCTTGAAACATTTTTTATATGCATATTTCAATATATTTCTTGAGTGAGAGTCTTTATTTTAAAGATCCTGCATCAGAGTCACGTCTGTATTACCGCTGACTTGTCAATGACTGACGCGTAAAAGCAAGCATCTTCTCTGATGCGAATCGCTGTCGCCCCCTGCCGGACATCTCCTGCACAAGCGAAATAGGATTTCACATGAGACGCTGCTGCAGCTGTGAGATTACCACACCTCAACGCCACACTAAAGCCACTTTGCGATCTCATTTTAATCCAGACTTAACCATCTTCAGACGATTGCTTTACAACAAAAAAGTCCATTTTTTGCCATGTGCCCAGGATTTTTCTTTTGAGCTGGACTGTACTTGCAGCTGCAGTATAACCTCCTGTGTAAACCTTCGCTATGTAACTGCTTTATCCCCCCCAGAATAATCCGGTGTGTGGGCGTAGCCATACCAGATTTTCAGTAACTTGAATTTTTTAACTTTGCTTCCAGCTGTGCTTTCTCTCAGGATGCCTCTTTGACCCTGACAGTTATGAGATACTTATAAGGGAACTGTTTTGTGCCTGTTTTTGACGCACCCTCTGGAAACCCTAGAGAGGGTCATGCAGGGAAAATCAGCAGTTTCTGAAATAGTCAGACCAGACCATCTGGTGCCAATAATCATGACACGGTCAAAGTCACTTAAATGGTATTTCCTCATTCTGATGCTCAAGTTTAATACGTGATTATTAAAATAACTCAAAGTTGTACTTTAGGGCTGTAAATGAAAAAAAAAATTACTTTCATTTTGTTTTTCCTAAAAAGTAGTACATTTGATACACAATACACAGATAACCTAACTTGTTATGTCATGACCATGGGTTCAGGTGGACTATGGAACATATGACAAATACAACAAATGCAAAATATAACTTTAAATATCTTCTTTAAAATAAAAAAAAACAATTTTCATAATTTTCAATTCTCTGTTTGTTCTTTCCTTAAAGCCCAAAACTGACCTATTTGTGAAAACAGCACCAGTAGAAAGTGCATTACAAGCAGTTCCCCAATACCAAGGCCTGCCTAGTTTTTCTTTTTGGGTGCCTGTGTGTCTGTGCAAAGACAGGAGGGAGTTGGGTTGCATCAGAAATAGCACTCCCACCTGCTGAGGATCACTGGAAAGAAAATATGACAGAACATTTGTTGTCCCCTTCATCTTCTTCCTTTTACTGACACTCGTTACGCACTGAGGTATTGTCTCTTCAGTTTGCCCACCGCTGAAAGCAGTGTACTGCTAATATGACAGATAAGTTGGTAATGTATGCCATAAGAATATTTACTGGAACAAAAAACCCCAAGCTCTTAGAGTTATGTTGTCCATGAATTTAATGGAAATTATTGGGGTAAAATGATTCAAATACAAGCTGACGCAAGATATATATTGATTTAATTTAAAAATTGTGAAGACAAAGAAGTTTGACATGTAACAAACTGAACAATAATACTGGCAAGCAATTTTCAGATTTCTAGCAATGAATATTTAATACTCTATCTTGAACTTAAGAGCTGCTGAATGCACTGCTCTTAAAGCCACAGAATACAAAACTCATCCGTGATGCTAAACTTGAATGGTATTATGTGGTCGGTCTATAATGGCGTTACAGTGAAGTCAAGGAGGGTCAGAAGGAACCATGTCTGACAGGCTCATCTTTTAGCTGACAGATATTCTCACTAATTTTCACAATGATTTCTAATCTGTGAGAAGCCCTCAAGAGAGCAAAGGAGCATTGACTGTTCCATGTTACATGTGGCTCTATATGAAGATGCCCTTTGTAGCTAATGCTCAGTTTACCAAAAACACCTTAGCGCTTGCATCAGTTTTATTCCAGTATAAGCCACTGGAAATATTAGAAACTTGATGCTCAGGGGTTAAGTGATTTGCAAGAAGAGTCAGTGCTCAGGTCAAGATTAGCGCTCATACTCTGGAGTCTTTGTAAAGTCGTGCCAAAGAATTGTTGACAGGAGATGTTTGTGTTTTGAAATCTTTCTATATGCGCCTTCTTCAGCTCTGAGCAACTGCCTTGCTTTTTAATGTAGTTTTTTTTAAAGAGTGTGCTCTGTTGGGATTTCTTTGACTGTTTTGGTAGATTCTCACAGAGAGAATTTGTCATTTTTTCAAATGTCACTGAAAAATGACCCTAAAATGAAACAGCAAATATTTTGAAACTCAGACTTTTCTACACCAAGATACTCATTTCACCCCAGGAAATGAATGGCTGTTACATGCCTTGTCACACAGCAGATTTTTCCTGTCTTTACCAACTTCCTGTTTCCATTTCCTGGAAATTTTAAAGAACAGCACGTTGCTTTGAAAGCTGTATCCAGCATTAACAAGGTCTTGACAGATGTGCGAAGGACCCAGATTTAATCCAGATGACTCAAGTGACCATTTGCGGTTGCAGGGATTTTTGCTTTCTACAAAGCTGTTAGAAGTGTTCCTGAGCTCATACAGTCATACGCACAGAGATTTCTCTGGAGTCTGTAAACCATTTAGTCATGTAAAGACCCTGGATAAGAAAACCCCAGATTCTTTGCAACTGTCTGTAAAAAGAAAAAAAAAATGAATTAAACTCTGTTTTTTTACTGTACTTGCAGTAAACCTTACCGCATGTGTTGACACTGCTAACTCGGTTAAAAGCAGAGTACAATGGCGAAGAGGCCTGATCTATTCTTAGACTATGATTGTCTGCATTGGCTAGCCCCAGTAAAGGCTTTAGGTTTCTCATAAACAGCATATTTATTACCGAGAGAATCTCTTTAGCTATAATGAATTGATGTAATTGCTTAGGTTATATAGCTACTGGCCTCTCCAACACAGAAGAATTGGCAAGCTTTCGAATGTCCTTTTTATGAGAACTTATAATAATGTCAACATTTGTTACTAATATATCAGCTTGTGAATTTTTCCAATTATTCCAATTGGGAAAAATGATAACATTTCAAATGCTGATCTCTAGACAATACCATTAAGGCAACGCTACGGATTTATTATTACACTTTCCTTGTGTTGTCAGTGTCAGGGGAGGTGATATTTAATGCTTGGTCTCTTGCCAGCACATTCTTGGGACCAGACGTTATATCTGCTGTCCACTCGCCATCAACCCCGCATAAAAAGCTGCCCATTGTCTTCAGCAGCTGCTGTTTGACTCTCTTCACCTCCACAGACGCTCATTTACAGGTAAAAGAACAGATGCTATATTGTGTGTTTTACCTAGTTAAGGTTTCTCAGAATATTCCCAGAGTGACTAACCAGAAGGCACTAATATAATTTTAATTTTCTTACAAGATTAGAGCAGAAAATATATAAAAATAAATAGAATTTCTAGACAATAAGACAGTTAATGGTTAAAGCTGTACAATATAGTAATTTGTACATACTTGCACATAAATGCTGTCAACTTAACAAAGAGCTGATCTTAAAAAATCTGTGTGCAACTGCTGCTGTCTGGCTTTGCTTTTTTCTGTCAGAACAAATGTTGTAGCTGATGTATTCGCTTAACAAATCTGCCGAGCTGTCATTAGTTAAACTGTAAAAAATACAGAATGAAAAAATTAATATTTGGGATGACGATCAACATGATGGAGTAAATACATGGTTAATTTTCAGTGTAATTTAATGGGATGACATATTACACCAAAACGTCACTAATACAAACTTTCTTTCCTTCCATGTGTTTGTTTCTGCTCAAGAAGTTGAAGTGAGGTAAGAAAATTCCTTTTATGCCTGCTGTATGGTTCATATTTGTGAAAATGTTTTTTAAGGGAAAGTTGTGCTCGCTTCCTAAAAGGATAAGAATAGATAATGCACTCATGTAAACCTGCCATTGCCTTTAAGATCATCGTCCTCATGTGTTCCTGCTTGCTGTTTCAGGAGCACGACAGATCCAGAGCGATGAATCCCAGAGGGGAAAAGGTGAGCCAGCTATATTCCACAGTGTTAATCCTCCATGCATGGACAGGGGACACATTGTCCTTGCACACATGGCAAAGATGTGGCAGTGGTTATCTGTCAGAATTGTTATCTGCATCCCTGA